GGGGGTATGCAGCGGGCAGTGGCAGAGAGAGAGATAGATAGATAAAGAGTGTGTGGGGAGGGGAATCTTTTCGGCCATTGACAACGAGATGGGTTGGCGAGGCGCTTCCACAAATACCCGGGTATCGGCCCACACGCGGGGGGGAGGGGGGGGGGGGACCAGGCGGGCCGGAGGGCCAAGTGTGGAGGCAGGCGATCTAGGGAGACGCCATCCCCAGGCCCCGGGCCTCGCCAGCGGCTCGCGCGGAAATCCCCCCTCCGGGCACCTGCCTGGCGAACTTTGTCTGCGTGCTTTTTGTTGCCCCAGCCCCAGCCCGCCCCCCTCCCCCCCGAGCTAACGAGCGTGTGGAGCCCACATTCACAGCCGCCAGGGGACAGTGAGGAAGGAGAGAGGGTCAAGAAACTGCACACAAGCTCGCGACCAGGGAGGTGCCCAGGGCAAGGTGCAGGCAGCGGAGTTTCTCCCTCATCGAACCACACAGGGGCAAGCGTCGAGCAGGCATTGCACAAGGGCAGGGGAGGATCAAGGCATGGCTCGCAGGCGCCCTGCTGTTGGCACGCCTCGCCTCATGTATCCGGATCCGGCGAACAGCAGCCGACTCACAACCCGGCTGGCCCCAGGGGGGAGGGAGGGGGGGCACACAGAGGCGCGAGTCCCCCGGGTGCGCCCCCCCCCCCCCCCAGCCCGAGAGAAAAGGCGGGCAAAGGAGATCTCGGGCTTTTGAATCGCCCGCCCAACCACCGACGCATGTGACCCTGGGAAGGTGGCACCACTGGGCGCTCGGTTTAGTCTTAATTGAGCATGTCGCGTAGCCAAGCGTGAGTCGGTTATTTCCGTTCACAATCGGTTATGCCGGGGCGGTGCGGGGCGGGAAAATGTGGCCCGCGTCCCGGTGGGCGGCTGGAGATCCGGCGAAGGCCACAGACCAGGGAAGACTCCATGCACCTCCCTCTCCCTCTCTCCCTCTCTCCCTCTCTCTCTCTGTCTCTCTCTCTCTCTGTCTCTCTGTCTCTCTCTCTTTCGCTCCCTCTCTCTCTCGCTCCCTCTCTCTCTCTCGCTCCCTCTCTCTCTCTCCCCTGCACCCCGCCTGCGCTCCCTCCATCCACCCTTCCTGCTCCCTTCTCTTTTGTGCTGCACGCACAGCAGGGCACCACACTGTCCAAGACACACACATACACACACACACACACGGAATGCTGACCAGACTTCCGGGCACAACCTGGCCCCTCCTTGCGAGCCTGGCACATTGGCGCATGGGCCCCGGCTGGTAAAACACCGAAGATGTCTCACTGACGGGGGAGGGAAGGGCGCGCAACGAAAAGGGCGGAATCGTTTCAGCTCAAGTATATTCAATAAATGGAAAGGGGCGCAGCAACACCGGAAACACCACAAGGATATATGAAGAGGATAGTGTGGTGCTGCATCGGCATGTGCAGTGTGGGTCGAGGGGGGGGGGGAGAGAAGAAGGGCGCAGGCTAACTGGAAGGGCACGGGGTGTGTCTTCGCCTCCCGCCGCAAACACACGGCCTTCGCGAACTGGCAAAGGCGAAAGGGTGTCGAGGAGCGGGAAGGAGAGGACACGGGCAGGAGGAGGAAGGAGGGAGGGGAAGAGGGTGCCGCACAGGGGGGAGAGGACGTGCCCTCTCCCCGGCCGGCGGGTGTGAGTATGCGCCAGCGGCCGGGCCGCGGGATGCATGCAAGTTGACTCGGCTATCCGCCCTGTCGGCGAAGACCTCTGGGCCCCGAAGGAAATCTCTCACTCTGTCTCTACCCTTCACAGGCGCGCCCGGGTCTATCAGGGGGTGGGAGCATGAACGCGAGCCCCCGGCCCATCCTCCTCGTGCCGGATTGCGGGGGGAGGAGTGCGGGAAGGGAGCTTGCGAAGCGGAGAAGGAGAGAGAGAGGAGCAGAGGCCAGAGAAATGGCAGAGGGTCCTGCGGGATGTGTGCTCGGAGAGAGAGGAAAGGGAGGGGAGGAGAGGGGTGGAGGGGCAATGGCAGAGAGGGGAGTCCGCCACCCATGCCAACCGCCCACACCCCCTTTGGCCACGCACGATGCGAAAAGTGTGCGTGCCTATAGGCATCTCGTCCCTACCTGCATATGCTCTCTCTCTCTCTCTCTTGCCGGCCCTCGCTCTTCGCCCGGCGGGAGGGGGGCGAGTGGCCTCCCCCCCCCCCTCCCGAAGGAAAGGAAGGAGGGCGCCTTTACAGACCGGCCTGCTGGCTGACCAGCAGAGCGTAGAGACCATGGTTGTCCATCAGCTCGTCGTGGGTGCCGGACTCCAGGACCTGGCCATTCTCAATGACGACAATCTTGTCGGCATTGCGGATGGTCGACAGCCGGTGGGCAATGACGATGGTGGTCCGGCCCTTGGCGGCCTTGTCCAGGGCGTCCTGCACGATGGCCTCCGACTCGGAGTCCAGCGCCGAGGTGGCCTCATCCAGCAGCAGGATCGGCGGGGTCCGGACAATGGCACGGGCAATGGCCACACGCTGCTTCTGACCGCCGGACAGCTGGGCACCACGGTCACCGACACGAGTCTCGTACTTGCGCGAGAGACCCTGGATGAAGCTGTGGGCATTGGAGAAGCGCGTGGCCTGGAGGATCTCCTCATCGGTGCAATCCGGCTTGCCATAGCGCACATTCTCGCGAATGGTGCCACTGAAGAGGATGGGCTCCTGCTGGACGAGGCCGATGTTCTGCCGCAGCGAGGCGATGTTCATGTCCCGGGTGTCCATCCCATCGATGAGGATCTGGCCACCCACCGGGTCGTAGAAGCGCTCGAGCAGCTGGATCAGGGTGGACTTACCACAGCCAGACGGACCGACCAGGGCAACGGTCTGCCCCGGCTCGGCCGTGAAGCTAATCCCCCGGAGGATGGGGTTGTCCTCGCGGTTGGGGTAGTGGAAGCGAATGTCCCGGAACTCGATGCGGCCCTCCACCCGGCTGATCTTGTTGCCGGAGTCGGACAGGGCGTCGATCGGGGTCTGGCGGTCCAGAAGCTCGAAGATGGACCGGAGCGAGCGCTTGGCCTCGGCATAATCCGGGGCAAAGGAAGCCAGCTGGCCGACGGTCATGGACCCGAACACTACGGCGATGATGGCGCGGTTCATTTGGGCGAAGTCGCAATGGCCCTGATCGACCGTGACCGAGCCATACCAGAAGGCCAGGGCGAAAATCAGGAACCCAATGCACTCGGCAAAGCCGAAAGCCACGCCCGACAGGTTGGAGCTCTTGGCGCAGGAGCTGCGCGGGCCCTCGAGCGAGTCGCTGAAGTTGGTGGAGAAGGTCTCCTGCCGGTTGAGCGACACCACGGTGCGGATGTTGGAAATGCACTCCACCGCATAGAAGCCACTCTTCTCGTAGGCCTTCTTGGTGCGCTCATTGAAGCCAACCACGGCCTTGATCCGGAAGAAGCCGCCGGAAATGGAGAGCGGCATGCAGGCCGTCACCACGAGGCCAATGCGCCAGCAGGAGATCATGGCAATCAGCACACCGGAAATCAGGGTCGCCGCAATCTGCAGCATCATGGCCAAACGCGTGGTCGTGCCGCCCTGGACATAGGTGGCATCCGAGGACAGCCGAGTGGCCAGGGCACCGGTGGCATTGGCCGGCAGGTCGAACCAGCCGATGTTCTGCCGGACAATGGTCTTGAAGGCCAGCTTACGGATGCGATCGGTCAGGCGCTCGGCCGACACAAACTGCCCGACATTCAGCAGGTAGTTCGACAGCAGGGCATAGATGCCGAGACCCAGGAAGACCAGGGCCCAAGTGCGCGCGGCCTCCATCAGCTTGTCGCCGGTGAAGAAGATCATGGCATTGATCAGCTCCGTGGAGATGAAGGAGTAAGCCGAGAAGATGATGCCGGAGAAGAAGGCACCAGCCGCGGCCAGCATGACATACGGCCAGTCGTCCTTGCAATAGGAGAAAGCACGAGCAATCGGGTGCTTGATGATCGACTCGAAGAAGCCCATCTTCTGGGCAGGGACCATGTGCTCGTCCTCCACATCGATGGCCTTGGTGGGCAGGACGTCCGGAATGTCATCCTCATAGAGGGTGTTCTCCTCCTCCTGCACGGCGGCGGCGTCCTTGCCGGCGACCTGGGCCTGCTTGGCCTTGATCAGGCGCGCGGCCTCCTCGGCCATCATCTGGCGCTCGACCAGGGACTTGTACAGACCGCCCTCGGCCATCAGCTCGTCGTGGGTGCCCTTCTGCAGAACCGGACCCTTGTCGAAGGCCACAATCATGTCGGCATTGCGCACGGTCGACAGCCGGTGAGCAATGACAATCGTCGTCCGGCCCTTGGAGGCCTTGTCCAGGGCATCCTGCACCACGCGCTCCGACCGGTTGTCCAGCGCCGAGGTGGCCTCATCCAGCAGCAGGATCTTCGGGTTGGAGATCAGCGCACGGGCAATGGCAATGCGCTGCTTCTGGCCGCCGGACAGCTGGCCGCCACGCTCGCCGACCATGGTCTCGTACTTGAGCGGGAGCTTGCTGATGAAGTCGTGGGCGTTGGCCATCCGGCAGGCGGCCTCGATCTCCTCCTGGGTGGCATCGAGCTTGCCATACCGGATGTTCTCGTAGATGGTGGTGGAGAAGAGGACCGGCTCCTGCGACACGAGGGCCACATTGGACCGCAGCCAGCGGATGGACAGGTCCTTCAGGTTGTTGCCGTCCAGGGTCACCGTGCCGGAGGCCGGGTCGTAGAAGCGCTCCAGCAGGGCGATGGTGGTGGACTTGCCGCAGCCCGAGTGACCAACCAGGGCCACCGTGGTGCCGGCCTTGACCGACAAATTCAGGCCATTGAGAATCTTGGTGTCCGGACGCGAGGGATACGTGAAGTGGATGTCCCGGAACTCGATGTTGCCGACCACCCCCTCGGGCTTGAGACCCTCGTCGCTGAGGTTGTCGATCTCCGGCACACGGTCGATGACATTGAAAATGTCATACGCCGCGCCCAGGCCCTGGGCCAGGGTGGCGAAGTTCGGGGCCGCGGTACCGATGGACATGGAGCCCATCATGACGGAGAAGAAGACGACAATCACCTTACCGGCATCCAGCTCGCCGGCATTGATCCGGGTCGAGCCATACCAGAAGGCCAGGCCATAGGCACAATAGATGACCAGGAAGACCGAGCCAATGCCCAACCCGGAGGCTTGGCCCTTCTTCTCGCCACTGCGCAGAGCCGGGATCAGGGCACGCGAGTAGCGGCCAATTTCGCGGTGCTCACCGCCGAAGGCGGCCACCGTGCGCATGGCACCGAAGACCTCCTCGGCCACGGACCCGGCAATCGAGTAGGCCTTCTGGCCCTCCAGGGCGAAGGATTGGATGACCTTGCCCATGATGCCGCCACAAACCATGATCAGCGGCGTCAGGGACATGATGACCAGGGTCATCTTCCAGGAATAGGCAAAGGCCACGGCGAAGCCGGCGATGAACATGACCACATTCTGGACGATGGAGGCCAGCTTGTCGGAGATGGCATCCTGGATGAGGAAGACGTCGGAGGAAATGCGCGACGTGACGGACCCCTGCTTCTGGGTGTCGAACCAGCCCATCTCCTGGCGCATCATCGACTGGAAGTAGTGCTCGCGAATGCGGTTGGCCTGCATGTGCGAAGTGTACATGGTGGTGGCCACCTGGAAGTAGGACGTGACGAAGGCGATGCCGGCGAAGATGACAAACCAAACGGCCGACTTGGACACCTCCTTCACCAGGTCCACCGGGCCACCGAAGGAGTTGATGATGGACCCCATGATGACGGAGAAGAGCGGCTGCAGGACACCATGACCGGCGGCACACAGGAACCCGAACAGGATCATGGCCACATCGGTCTTGGTGGCATACCGGAAGAGGGTCAGCAGGCCGACCTTCGGGCCGTTGGCGGACTTGTCCTCCTCCTCGATGGGCTCATCCTCGAGGACTTCCATGTTGTAGGGCTCCTCGATCTCCTCTTCCAAGGGGAGGGGCTCCTTGCCGGAATGGCCGCCGCCGGGGGAGCCGGCGCCGCCATCGGGCAGCGAATTGGCCGACGTGTCGGAGAAGGACCCGTCGGTCGAGGGGGGGCTGTTGCCACCGGCCGGGGCGCCGGGCGCGGCGTCGGCGCGGTTGGACATCTCGATACCCGAGGAGTGCTCGGAGTCGGAGGTGGTCATGGGTGGCTGGGTGACTGTGACGAACGAGCGTGTGCATTTGATATGGTGAGTTGGGGGAGGGGCGAGGGGGGCGAGGGAGGGGGGGGGGAGGGCAATGGCAGGAGGAGGGCAGCGCATTGTCGGAAGCTGGGCGACATCCGGGAAGCGTACAGATCTCAGAAGCCGGGAGCTGTCTGCTGGCAGGCAACCAGGCGCTCTTCAGGACTTTGGGTGAAAC